AGAAGAAACTACAATACTCTATGCCACTAAAGTCACCTTTCTTTTCACAGGTGCTGCTTTGGCATGCAACGCTGATTTGATGGACTTATCACAGTCATCCTGTTGCTCTCTCTCACGCTCTGACTCCCCGTCAAGTGAGTCATCTTGCTGTGGAGGTGGAGTTGAAGGAGGAGTGCAAGGCCCTCGTACCCTTGCTCTTGATGTTCGCTCAGGACTCGCCTCCCTCTCTGGACTCCGGTCTTGTCCTATACTGCATGACTCGGGCGTTCTGGGGCTATCGGGCATCAGTGAAGATTCTTCAGGGCTTGTGGGTGCTGGGCCCTCAGGTGTTCTGGGACCTTTAGGTTCTAAGGCTTTGTGATGAAAGCCTTCAGGTGTCTGTGCTCTCTCGATGACTGGCAAGTCATCTGAATCTGACTGTGAGCTCTGTCTTCTCCCTTGCAAAACTGAGGAGCTTGGACTACATACCAGACCAAGGGATTTTTCTCGTTGCAGCACCTCTTCTGGTGCAGGAGATGTTTCCTTGGCAGGTTTGGAAATGCACTCTGTCACCTCTGTTTCTTCACTGCCTTGACTCTGGGTTTGAGGAATGTTGTCCCTTTCTTCAATCTTAACACTAGTATTAAACTGTACATCCACCTCTACTTTAACCTCTTGCTTTATACATGTCTCTCTTGACAGCACCTGTTCAGCCTTTGCATTTGTTTTTGTACTCCCTTCCTTCACAACCATGCAATGATGCACATTTGCTCTCACAAGTTCTTTTTCTTGCTCCTCTCTCTCACTACTACTGCCTGATTGCTCTCTTATCCCTACAACCTCACCTGCACATAATTCTGGCTTTTCCTGCACAGCCTCCTGCTTGACCTGTTCATCATTCAGTACTTCCATCTTCACACTTACAGGCTTCTTTGAACTTTGCTTTCTTTCTGGCCTGGAACACTGGGTGGGAGTTTTTTCCTCTATGTTCCCAACATTCTCTGTTCTTTCATCACTCCCCTCTTTCTCTCTATCATCACTCACCTCTGAGACTTCCTTTTCTTTTTTCACAATAATCCTACAATCTGTTGCAATTAAGCTTTCAAGTTCATTTTTCACTGTTTTCTGAAAACTGCTCCCACACTCAGCAGCGTCTCCCCCACTCTCGCTCTTGATCATCCTCCCCTGAGTCTCTGGTTTCACTGAGCCAACTTCTGCTTTCGGTGCATCTCTGAAAGCTTTTTCTGGATTTCCATCTGTTTCACCTATTTCACTCTTCACATCCACTCCTTCCTTTTCTTTATTCTCCTCCACTTTCTCACCGGTACTTCCATCTGTTTCTCCCTCCTCCTTTGGTGTTCTTTCATCTACATTTTCCACACTTATACTGCCACATCCCATATCACTTTCCCTCTTTACAACAGTTGTTTCCTGAGTGCTCTCTTCTTTGATTGCTGGTGCATCTTCCTTTTTGCTTTTCAGTTCTTCTTCTTGTCTCTCTCTCTTAGTGTTTTTCTTCTTTGTGCTAAGCGCTTGTTTTCTCTCCCTTTTGGAAAGGGCTTGCTGCCTCTTTTTTCTTCTCCAGCCAACTTGCTTCTTTCTCCGCTTGACCTCGCTTTCTTCTCCTCTGCAGGATGTTGCCTCTTCCTCCTCCTCCTCCTCTTGGTCCTCCTCGTCCTCCTCGTCCTCCTCCCGCTCACCGTCTTCTACACTTTCCTTTTCTTCACTCTCTTTGCAGATCTTTGGAGATGACAAACACAAGGGAATGTCCGTCTTTGATGCACTATCTGTTATATCAAAATCTGACTCTTTTACAATGTTTCTTCTACTTTCCTTCTCATATCTCAAATCAGCTGGACTGCTGGTGAAAGTCCTTCCTCTGTCTTTCAAGTTTGAGATCTTCTCCTCTTCCTCCTCAATGATGAGTTCCTCTTCCCCGTCATCATCATCCTCCTCTCTCTTCCCCACACCCAAGCTATCTTTGGTATCTGCTGCATCCCCAGTGTGGTCCTCCCCTTGCAAGGACTGGTCTTCTGCAACACTCTCCTCCTCACACTTGATCTTGACCACACCTCCAGCTGCTAACTCAGCTTCCATCTGAAAGGAGCCGGGTCTTAGTGTGCCATTCATTCCAGCAGTGATTTAAGTCCAAGAGTTGTATCTACAACCACAAAACCCTTACCAGTCATTAGAGTGAAATAGAAAACTGTAGGAAACTGAAAATCACAGGTCTCTAAATGTGAATGATAGAAATATCTATAAAACTCAAATGGGCCACCAACCTCCTCCATCATCTTGTCCTCCTCCATGCTGGTGGAGTGGACAGGCGTTGAAGGGGGAGTTGACGACTGCTCTGATGACATGGACTCTCTGGCCAGTCTGCGCTTCTTTAAGGGCGTTATGTAATCTCCTCCAGTTGGGGAGTCTGTTGGGATGGACAATCTGTTAGGAGTATGAAGAACATAAAGGAAATACTATTAAGGATACATGGAAAGTAATGAAAGAATTGAATGCTAGACACATTCAGCTACCATGCACCCACCTGGTCTGCTGTTGGGACTTGGGCACAGACCATTGAGCTGGGGTGATTCAGTCTCCTCGCTAATGGCCTGTCTAAGCCACCGTTTCTTAGCTGAGCCACCTGGCAAGTCCAAGTTGAGGACAGTCCCGGGGACCACCTGGTTCACAGATGTTGACCTTCTGAGTGGTGTGGCGGGCGACCGCATATAGCACGTGGGCACGCCTGTTGAATGCACCTCTGTTACCCCGCTTGGGCTGCCTACGGGCATCACTGGGTCTACGGTCTCATTTAGCCATTCATTCATAAGTGCTTTCTTGGTTTTGGGAAATCTGGAACCATCACAATTATGAAATGATGAGGAGACAATTTTTTATATATCAACAGGAATTTCATGTTCATAATAATCATCCCTTATGAATAGTAATTTTAACTTACCTGAACCCCATGACATTTGAATTTCCTGATGGAGGAGAGTTGAAATTGAGAGCAATGCCTTCAACAGAGCCCCCCAAGGGAGACATGAGCCCCACAGAAGCACAACTACTTTCGTCACCGGTTAAGTCAGAAGCTGTTGTGTCCAGGCGATGATTACGTTTCTGGGGGCTACCCTTCCCACGCCCCTTTTTTCTGTTGGGAAGGTAAAAAGCAATGTGGAAAACCAATCTGACTGGAGAGGAAAATTTTATCTGCCATCACAAACATGGCCTCCCTTGCAAGTCCCAAACACTTACCCTTTTCTTCTGCTTCTTTCTGCCACAGGAGTATTTCTGTTGCCCTCATCGGCACTGCTGGTCTTCTCCCAGTCCTCCTCATCCCCATCACAGTGCTTCTTGTCCTTATCTTTTGGATCCTTGCTCTTATCCTCTTCCTTTTTCTTCTCCATCTCCTGTCTCCTCTGTGCAGCCTTCTCCATCCTCTCAAACGCCTTCATGTATGCAGCAATCTTCCTTTCCTCACGTGTCATCTTCTGCTGCTGCTGTTTGTCCATGGCCTTGGGGGTCTCTGGTGTCACAGCCAGGGTAGGGGGTGCGCTCACTACCGTGTCCTTGCTTAGCTCTTCAGGTGAACTGGAGGCTGATACACAAGGGGACTTGGCAGGCGACTTACCACAGCCTGACACACGTCTCTGCTTGACAGGCGTGACAGGGGTTGTGCTCTGACAAGTGGTGGTTGTTAGATTATCACTACTTCTGCTCTCAGTGGAAGTGGTTCTTTTACTTGTCCGCAGTTGGAGCTGGAGCTGCTGCTTCTTTATTGTCTTCTTGTTGCTAGAAAGAATGGCAATATTATCAAAACAAAGGCTGAAAAGCTTAAATTCTACTCTCTTGGGTATACTCTGAATACAAATATCTTCAACTCAAAATGGCTGCAACAATAGTTTAAGAGCCTTACTTTAGAAGCCCATTCTTTTTATGTGGAGGATTATGCACTGGTGATAAGGCCTCCACCTTTTGGGACTGGGGAGCATTGCAATCGTGTTCCTCCGACAGACAGCAGACAAGATCTAAAGTGGAATTAGCTGTCTCTAAGGCTAAAGTAACTTCCTCTGCCTCTTCAATGTCTCTTGTTGCTACCAGGTACAGGTGTAGGGACCCTCTTTCTACCACATGCCGAATCTGATACATAAGGAAAGTCAATAAATCAAAATACTGAAAATGCTCAAACTATAAACATCTGGTCATTCTAATACAAAAATATTATGTAGATAGTTTAATAAATGCTATGTGGCAGCTCATTAAAAAGGCTGAAACTGGGGCCATCCAAGAAACAGCTGTGCTCCAATGCAAGCAAGAATACTATTATGCAACAATCAAATTAGATTCACCCTAAATGTCTTTTTCAAAAGGTAAAACTGCAATGAATGTATAACTGGTGGCTGCAAAAGACATCTGAAAGCAGCTTGTATGCTTGTACCAGAAAAGAATTAATTACCAGCTTTCTGTCCACACTTTAAGTTACTCCTCTAAAGTCAAATAAGATATTCATGAGGTTAACCTTCCATCTTGCAACTACTTTGCATCTTACCTCTGCATTTGGTCTGCATGATCTGCGAGTGAATCTGGCATCATTGCCATACGTTCTGGCATCCACGCATACAGTTAGGCCCTCCTTTGGCATGTGGTACTGCAGGACATAGGGCAGGTACTGCTGACCCATCACTGGTTGTTGTGCATTCCACTGGGATGCTAACAGGTACTTCCCTTGAAACTCTGTGATGGCAGTGTTGACAGTGAGTCTGGTAGCAGCTACCAGGATCTAGAAATAGGAAAGAGACATTAGTTACTCCAAAATGGACTGCCTATTATCATCACAGAATAGGTATACAAATCAACAGTTGCAAGGTAATTAGTTTCTTACCTTACTGTCAAACACATCCAGCAAGGGATTGGGATTCTCCATCACCTTGCAGCGGTGGCCCAAGACGGCCCCCTGGGTGGATGCCCGCAGGTCTGGTGACACGCCATTGATGCGTGCTGCTTGGACTCGTGCGCGCAGTTCAGGAGAATAGTGGTTGGTGACAGCCACCTCATAGCCCTCTACCCAGGCCCGAAGCCTCTCTACTGGGCCCCCACATGAATCATCACTCACACCCTCACCGCCACTCATGCTGCTGCTCTTGCGCTGTGGAAGCGAGACTCAGGTCAGCCTTTCAGTGGAGAGCAGCAACATTTAATAGAAAAACAGTAAGAAACAAAGAAAGGAGAATTTAATCCCATAAGTACTAAAGTAAATTGGGGCAATTAGTAGTATAACTAATACATTCAGACAAACTATGAACCTTTCCAATTTTCTCTTCAATTGAAAGATTTCTTTTCCTGTGGAAATTGCACAGAAGCATTTCTTTGGCATGTTACTCACTCTGCGTGTTTTGACCAGCATTCTTCTGTCTCTCTCCTCGGAACCCGGAACAATGTTGTTGTTGCAGGAGACTGAGCTGCTCTTCTTGAGCAAGGAGAGAGGACCTTTCCTGCCATTCTTCATGTCCTTTATCTGTTTCACCTTCTTTTTCTTTACCACTTTTCTCTCCTGCACTTTGCTGAGTGAAGCACGACTTTTATTGCACATGGGCATGTTATCATCTGAGTCTGAAGAAGAGAGCCTGCAAGACAGAAGACTATGAAAGGCACGTCTGTGATTATTCCATGTTTAAAAGCTACCTCATTCGCTATGTCATTTACTGGCCCAGCACCGTTCCTCACCTGGCCAGATGAGCTTTGATCTCCTGTCTTCTGCGTATCTGTAAAGCACGAGCTTTAAACCGGTCTATCATTCTCGGCTCACAGGCCTCACACAGGTACTCATCAGGTATGTTTTCACGATCAATTTCCATGCAGTCCACATGCTGCCAAACACTGCAAATTAAGATTTAAAAATGGAAATCATTATGAAAGTAATAATCATAAAATGCAGAGTAACCTATGCAATGGATCTTTCTTTTAAGAACTGTGCTATTCACTTCCAATGGAACTGCATAATTACAATGTCCACCTAACCTACACATACTTAAAAAGACTTACAAGCATCTGTCACACTGTATCATGTATCCATCATCGTGGGCAAAATCGCAGACGCAGCGTGTGATGGAGTCATCTACTGGCTGCTCATCCCCCTCCCCCTCTGGTGCGGTCTCTGTCTCCTCTCCTGAGGGCCCCACAGAGGAACTGCGATCACTTAGACGGGAGTCGTCATCCGTTTCAGCCCCCGTGCTGGATGGCGGAGGAGCCACAGCCACTGTTGTAGGGGACTGAAGCAGTTCAACAGGAGGAGGAGGGATGTGGGGTGAAGGGAACATACTAGTCTTTGGATGGGGCATGAACTGCTGCCGGTGTGGAGGCATTGTGCTCAGTGGGTGCGAGGTCAGCAGGCCAGAGATAGGCACGGAGGAGCCAGATGAGACAACTGGGGGTGCATGGCCTGCGTGGGTCATGTGGGCCGGCCGGGAGGGGCTGGTGGCGGCCACACTTGCTTGTGGGTGGTGCAAGGGGTGGTGGTGGAGGGGGTGGGAATGGGTCTTGGGTTGCAAGAGATTCTGGGAGCCAGGCTGGGAGGGCACCTGTGGGCTGGCATGGGGCACAGCTGGCTGGTGATGTAGGGGGAGCTGGTAGGGGGAGGAGCCTGAGGATGAAGATGAAGAGCAGGGTATTGGTGGGGGGGACTGTGGAGGCGTGGGTGGGGGAGGGGCACCATAGTTGTGGTCTTGAAGAACAAAAGGGAGGTTATAGGTGGAGCTGTGTTTGGATGATGATGATGAGGAGGAGTAAGGTGAGGACGAGGACTGCGCACTCATGGAGCCACAAGGAGGACCTTCTGGAGAGCGGACCATGGCATCTCCAACATTTGACCTGGGGGAGTAAAAAAAAAAAAGGATGTTTCAGAAAAGTACCAGGAGATCTAAAAGGACTCATGACTAATGCTCTATGGATATTCTCTATGCCAAAGAAGTCATCAAGATATTTCCTAACCCACTAGTTCCAGTATTCCTAAACATCTAGTTCAGCCCACTAGCTCCTTGTACACACCAAACTGAGTAGTTTGCTTTTAAAACATTGTACTGGTAATGTAATAGTACTCAGAACTTCAGTATAGGGAAGAGATGAAGACAAGGTGGGCAAGTAGAGAAGACATAGAGAGAGGAGAGAGGAGAGAGAGAGAGAGAGAGAGGGGGAGACAGAGAGAGAGAGAGAGAGAGACGTAATAACTTCGTATAACATACATTATACGAAGTTATACGAGAGTAGTTTGCTTTTAAAACATTGTACTGGTAATGTAATAGTACTCAGAGCTTCAGTATAGGGAAGAGATGAAGACAAGGTCGACAAGTAGAGAAGACATAGAGAGAGGAGAGAGGAGAGAGGAGAGAGGAGAGAGAGAAGGGCGTGAAGGAGAGGGTGGGAGGGAAAGGATGGGAAGGGAGGTGGGGAGAAAGTGAGAGAAAGAGATTAAGGGATTGGGAGATGGAGGGGAAGGAGGGAAAGGAGGGAATGGGAGGGAGGGAGGAG